TTATTCTTACCAGAAAATTATTATATAAACAAGTCACATTTTAATGGTCCAAAAGTTTAAATGCTGGGCAGTTAAAAGTTTACCACTTTCACTAAAAACATACTACAACGGAATATAAAACTAAAATCTATCTCCATTTAAAGTATTATGAACAAGGGCCAGCCAAATGGCTCAGCAGATTAAAGCACCTGCAAGCAGGTACAGGGGCCAGGGATTCAATCCCGGGGCCCGATATGTCAGCCTGGCCCCCAGGGTGCACTGAGATGGCAACTGAGACTGAGCATGGTGGCGCATGCCTGTAATTCCAGCTCTTGGGAGGCTGTAAACAGGTGGATCACTATGAGTCCAATCTAGTAGTGAAACCCTGAACATCCTGTAGACCCTTTCCTAAAATGCAATAAATAAATAAATAAATAAATATTAGGAATGATTTGTACACTATTTAATCCTGCCCACAGATTCAATGAGCCTTCAGGCACAGACTTTTCCCTGTTTACTATATATTTAGATGTACTTTTTATTAAGTTCTATTGACCAAAAGAAAACATAACTTAGTAAAAAAATTCTGCTGATAATGAAAACACAGGATAACATTTACATATAGAAGCCCTTGTTACTGTTTTGAGAAAGTGAAATACAAATAAGTACCATACTAAATACAAAAGTTAACAGTATCTATGTACTCAAGTATATACATTGTTAAGAGCTCCATTTTACATAGTTTAGTCCTCAGTTCCTTGCTCCGATGCCTATATCCTTTAAAATGTCAATTATTTTTCCTCTTTAATGCTTAATAGTGCCAGTGAGACAAAAAAACCAAAAATGACTCTATTTGAAATTTCTATGGCATCTACCTTAAACTGAACTGTCTTGGTCTATTATGAATATTTTGAGGAAATGATACCAAGTGTGAACTTTTTTCCCTAGAAAAATGTATCACAAATCTTTTTTTCCCTAGAAAAATGTATCACAAATGCATGTTGTGGGAATTCACCACTTCCAGAATCATTTCCACGTAATCTTCAGAAGCCATCTGAAACCTATAATCAAAATATCTTGAACAGAGTAGAAAATTTGAGATATTTTATTACTACCTAACACTCTGTATCTGGAGTGTCTGCTAATAAAAAACCCCAAGTAATTCTCAATTGTTTTTCTAATCCAAGCTATATTTTAAATTTGCCTCTATTATAACAGATTGCATATGTATCTCTTCATTGCCCCGACAGTGGACAGACAAGACATCAAGAATGATATTTACAGCTCCAAATAGAAGGAATAAAAACTGGTTTAAAATATTAATAGGGGTGGGCACGACCTGGTTTCTTTAAAAAATAAGGAATCAAACTTGCAAGCTTATAACTTAAGATCAGTATAAACTTATTTTCATCAATCTGAAAAATTCAGGGGAACGAACAGTCTCATTCTGTAGTTTAGTCTGGCCTTGAATTCACTATGTAGCCCAGGCTGGCCTCAAATTTAACAGCAATCCTCCTACCTCAGCCTCTTGAGTGCTGGTATTATACACTATCTTTTTTTAAATTAAAAAATATGTAGTACTTAACTACTTTATCATATTAACAATATCCACATAAACCTTTTATAAAGTACTTGGGCTTAATACCTCTGTATATTGGGCCAGCAGTCAAGGTGAGAAAAAGCAAGTTTGAAACTATTACGTACAGGTAGACCCTTATAACCAAGTTGCTTGGGTTATGGTAGCCAGATAGTTTCAAATTCATGTCAATGTGGTTTCATCATTTGTTTCTTAAATATATTAAACATTCTATCTAAACCATTCCAGGTTAAAGGTTAAGAACGTATGCACCCTGTAAAAAGGATTTATGCATCTTACACAACTCAATGGAAAGTTAAACTGCTGTACCAGGGACACAAGTGGCTTCAATTTGCTTAATACTTTATTATGCCAACTTTTTAAAAAAATTTAGTATAGTGTCTACAGGGTCTCACTACACAAATGGGACTTGCAGTGATTCTCCTGTTTTCAAGTCAACCAAGGGCTGGATTATAGGCATGTGCTACCATGCCCAGTCTCTACATCAACTAAGCGATGTTGCCATAAGAGATTAACAAACCTTGGTATTTAAAAAGCCAATTTTAATTTTTAAAATCTAATTTGTAGTAATGTGGCTTCAATTAAATGTGAAGCCACATCTCTAAATTTAAGATTAGAAAAATAAAGTTTGAAATGCAAATATAACATTTTGTAATAGGACATCTGCCCCCTTCCTTAAACTTTTTCATAACACACAAAGGGACTTGTCTCATAAAAGTTCATAGTTTTCCCATGATCTAAAAATATTAATTTGTAATTCACTAAACAGAAGCTTTAGGCAAACATCTTTTGATTAGGTTCTAATTCACTACATTCTATAATATCAAACATTTTATCTAACATCAATGGCTTACTCAATTATTCGATTATAACCTATGTTCTAGTCTTGCTGTAATAAAAAATATAAATCCTAAAATTAACATTTTTCACCTCCAAACTGGGGTGGGGGATGAGAGATTCTATTTAAGGTGATTTCTTAAAAATTAAGAAGCATGTATAATTGGGCCACAATGTTATTTTTATTTAAGCTGGCTAAATGGGGATACAGTCACAGTATTTTCCCAGTGCTGTAAGACTTAGGATTTTTATCCACTTTACCACAGAAACAAAATATAATAATTGTTAAATATAGTTTTCCTTTACAATAAGAGGCTTCACAAGTTTTAACTCAAGTACAAAATGCTTCAACTACGTTTTTCTAAGGTTCGCTCAATTGTTTTACATTTAGTATTTTTTCTTTTCTAAGTCATTCTGAGACAGGGTTTGACTACAATTCAGGCTGGCCTCCAACTCCCAGTGATCCTCCTGCCCGGCCTCCCGAGTGCTGGGCTTACAGGTGTGCACCACCATGTCCAGCTAGTACATATTTTCAACACTGTGTAATAACCTTTGCTCAATATTGGACTTTACTTATATAGCCCACCACTAGCAGCATGAACCACAGCATTGTGAAGTAGCTTGTTTACCATTCTATTAAGTTCAGTATCTATTAAGTATCTATTCTTGAGATATATACTCATCAGTTTTGATTGGCTAGGAAGTAAAAAATTGTAAGTAGATGATAGAGAATGGTAGTCTGAAAGGGGGGGGAGGAAGCTTGTGCATCAAAAAAGGATCCCTATGACTTAAGGACAGCCGTGCACCATAAATGTCAAGAACTAAAATTATCTGTAAAATTTAGCATGCATTTAATAGGTCTATCAGTTGAACTCAGCTTTTATTTCAGGTTGTAGCTTTCGGGACTGTTCAAATTACTTACAGAAACAAGACTTTACATTTCTAAAGTGTTCTGTAGTGCCATCTTTAATCAAAGTTTTCTCCTTCCTTGGCTGAAAAACTACAAATTAATTTTCAGGGAAAAGCAACACCCCATCATGAAAGTATGATCCATAAAACTTATAGAGAAACAAAAATAAAAACCAAAAGACAACATTCTGCAGACAAGTACTTTAATTTTTAAAAACAAATCACTTGATGAACAATTGGTACCATTCTACTCTAAGTTGATACAAATAGAAAAGGACTGTTCTTATAAGTAATGTGCGGAAATTCAGTTCTAATCTACTACACTTAGTTGATCTGTAAAGCTGTATTTAAAACACTACTCTCAAAAGGAACTCAACTATCACGACTCTTACTTTATAAGGTGAAAAAACCCAAACAGTTTTAAAAGTTTTATTAAAAGTTAAATTACAAAGCAGTTTCTACATTAAAAAAACAGCACCAACACAGGGATTACAGTACAATTTTCCACAAAACTGTAGTGCACCAGTCCATGGGAATCCTTGACTTCCTTCAACTGTCAACACTGTGCACCCTGCTTAAATGGCTGTACCTGAAAACCAAGGTATGCAATTCCTTAGGGTTAGAAGTCATCAAGTTATCCTGCCAAGGATCTGGGGGGACGGGAGGAAGCCTATTACTCTTGTGTCCGAACCCAACTTCCATAATACAGTAACGCCACAACCGTAATCAGTTATTACTGTAAGCAGTCATTGAAATACTAAGCCCCACCCAATGAAGACGTCTCCATGTTAACATTTCTAAGAACAAATTCACTTTGAACTTCGGGCCGGTAATGAAATTAAGAACGGACCCTCTTTCACAAGCCTGCTACTTAAATTTTCTTCGCCCCTGGCTTGGGAGACCAGAAGGCGGAGCCAACTCAGGTGTATTCTAAAAGCAAACACAGGGCTTCGCGAGAGCCACGGACCCGAGCCTGCAACATGTGCCCGAGAATCACGGGGAGACAGGCAGGGCTGGTGGCTGCTGCTCCTCGATTCAGCGGCACCGGGGACGGCCGCCTCGGTGCCGGCTAGCGGACGGCGGGGCGGCCTCGTCTTCCTCCGCCGCGCCGCCCGGGCCAGGAGCCGCGCAGCGCGCCGAGGCTCCACGTGGGGC